GGCCTTTACATATCATGAAACACAGAAATGCTAAGTACAGTTATCATCTTTATAGATAAACGGCGCTTTCTATTTTCAAAGAACTGTAACACATTAACTAATTAATTCTTGCAATATCCTTGTGAGGTAAAAAAAGATACCGTTAGTTTTGCATTAGCACAGGATTTATAGGATACTGGCAATCTGAACCACTTGTTTACTTTCTGACAGTGTACCTTATATAAGTTGAGCAGGTTTTAGGGCCATGTGCAAGTGAAAAGCTATTATTTTTCCCTGTGTCACTACCTTGCATTATATAGGCATACCCTGTGAACAGGTGGTGTTTCTGCATTAGCATTGTTCTTTTCCATCTCTAATTTCTCTGATTTTAGGGTTTCTGTGGTAGGACCTCTGAGATACAAAATTAAAATAGCTCACATGTAAATCCATCATTCAGACAATATGATGTCACCAGCCAAAATACTTGAATAAATTTATAAACAAAGTAGATATGTTTTTCCAAAATTTCTATTTGTTCTGCTAAAATTGTACTTCATGCTTTTCCCAATTCTGGGGCCTTTTCTCTGAGTTAAAGCTGCTTCCACTAAGTTTCCTGATCAAGGTCTTTTATACCATATTTACTCAAATTTAAGATGAACCTGATTATAAGACGCCCCCCAATAATTAGATTCCATATATGAAAAATTTATCAATTTTATATACTTTTCCAGGTATAGAAGCTAATTTTTGGAGGTTGGCCTTGAATTTGTCCCCCTGGGCCAGTCAGCCCTAAGGGAAGGAAAACCCAAGCCCACAGGCCTCTGGGTCCCAACACACTGCTACAGCAGGGAAAATAAATCTGGAGGATCGGTGGCCTTCTGCCCTCACAACTTCTTCCCCCTGTAACTCCTTCCTCTGCCTCCCTTATGGCCCCCCTTACAGTTAGACTCTGCTCTCCTCGAGCACATGGGAGTGAGGGGCAAGTTTGAAAACACTGATATCCAAACAAGCATGCATATAATTATTTAGTTCATCCAAACTTTATGCATATTACCTTTTTTGAAATTGCTGCAAGTTTTAGCACAGGTTCTCCATAAACACACTTTTCAGCAGCCCTTTTATAACTATTATATATGGTACAGATTATGCACGATAGCAGTCCAAAGCCAAAAGGCTTATGATTAACTACATAGTTCAGTGGACTACGCCCCAGCAGAATCAACAGCATTTCAAGCCATGGTATACCCATAACTCAACACAGCTCTGTATGTGTATGTATACCCCAACAAGGATCCATGTGCTAATTTGCCCCCGCTCATGACTGGAACTGGCTGTTGTTGTCATGAGTCCTGGGATCTTCCAAAAATGCATATGCAGATGAGGCACAGGGCAATCTGTCAGATGAAAATGCTTTCCCTCCTGAAAAGCCACACGTATCCTTTGATGGTGCTGTGACATGGCAAGTATAGGCTGACAGTATAATAAGCCTGCCCAGTACCCAGCCATGGGTCTACAAGTCCTCAACAGCGAAGCAGGTGGAAGATCTTAGAATCTCAATGACAGTGAAAGTGAATGAAGGCTGCAATGGAACAAGAGCACCAATTTTCTTGGCCTCCTTGTCATTGGTTAAGGTCTTGTTCTGTCAAGAACATGTGAAAACTGATGTGCAGCAGCTTCTCCATGATAAAAAAAAAAATCATGCACAGGTATCTTCAATTAAAACAAGCACATTTTTCAAGCCCTTTGGCAACCAGCTCGTGATTGTGCCTGATTGCTACGTCTACAAGCTCCTAGTTGTGACTTGGCATGAAGATGGCAGTTACAAGAAGGTCATCTAGCACTTGGATGAGAAAGGAGAGTGATTCACCAACTCTTCAGGATCCACTCTGCTCACCTCACATGGGGAGGGGCTAGAAAAGGTGCCCTAAACTTAGGCTGTTTACCATCTTCCTCTGGGATCACCTTTACTGCAGTCAAAATCAACAAAGACACGCAATCAATTTTTGGACCTAGAACATCAATAACCTCATGCACAATCCTAATTGTGAACTCCAAGAGCACCACTCTGCAATCATGGCTCAAGAACTCATGCGATACAATTGATGTCAGTGCACTGAGTGACACCTGGCAAGTGGGAGATGAGCAACTCAAAGAACACGGAGGCAGCTATACCTTCTTCTGTAAGGGTAAACAGGAAGGGGAACACCAGCTTCATGGAGTTGGTTTTGCCATCAAGAATGAACTCATAAACCAATTCAACAAGTTTCCTGTCGAAATTAGCGAGCAGCTCATGACTCTCTCTCTTAAGCTGGCAGGGAGCCAATATGCCACTGTCATTGGGACATCTGCCCCAACTCTTGATGGCTCCAATTAAACCAAGGGGGAATTCTACACCAGCCTTGACCAGGTCCTTTATGATGTTTCAGAGGGAAACAGACATTCTTTTCAGTGATTTCAATGCCAAAGTCGGGAGGGACTTGAACTTCTGGAACAGAAATGTTGTCAAGGAAGGAATAGTAAAGGCCAACCCCAACGGCATCCTTCTCTTGACCAAATGCACAGAACATGGACTCACCATCACCAACACCCCTTTCCACCAGAAAAATAGGTGCAAGACATCATGCCAACACCTGCAATCTAAGCATTGGCACCTGAATGATTAAGTCATTGTTCATGCCCAGGACTACAAAAATGTCTGCATCACCCAAGCTGTGCTAGGAGCTGAAAATTGCTGGACCAATCACCAACTCACCCACTTGGTTACATCACTCAAACTGGCTCCCAAATGATGACTGCAGCACAGGCAATGCTGAAGGACTCAAGGATCCAATCAACTGAGACCTCTTCCACCACTGTCATAATGAAAAGCTGGTGAATTCCAATCAACAAAAATGAGATAATGTTGGGAGTGCTTGGGACACCTTCAAGTCCACTGTCATCAAAGCCTGTTAAGAGATACTTGGATTCTCTATCAGGAAACATCAAGATTGATTCAATGATAATCACTAGGATACCCAAGAGTTGGCTGACCACAAGTGCAAGGCCTTTTGGGTTTGGCAGAACAACATCAACTCCGAGCAAAATAAATTGAATCTCCAACAAGCTAAGGCAGAGGTCCAAAAAAGGACCTGAGATACGAAAAATAGATGGTGGGAAGACAAAGTGAAGAAAATGCAACATCTCGGTGACATCCACAACATGCATGATTTTTTTCAATGCCACCAAAGCCATCTATGGTCTGACCACTCAGGAACCAGCTCCCTTGAGACCTAAGGATGGAAGAGACATGATCAATGCCCATTGGAAGGCTTTCTCAATCAAGACTGTTGTTCATGAGAGTGTTCTCAATTCCATCCAAAAACATGCAGTCAGAGATGATCTCAGAATCCTTCCAACCCTTGACAAGGTGAGGAAAGCCATCAAGCAAATGAAAAACAAGGCATCTGGAGCTGATGAAATTACTGCTGAAATCTTCAAGTAGGGAAGAAAGGAGTTCACATCACAGCTCCATGCCCTCATCTTAGGATTTGGAATGATGAGGAAATCCCAGATGACCTTTGGGATATCATGATTGTGACAGTCTTCAAGAAGGGAGACAAGTGTAACTGTGAAAATTACAGAGGGATCACCTTGCTGTCCACCACAAGTATCATTGTGAGAACCCTCCTGAGCTATCTCCTTCCACTTCCTGAAAAGCTCCTCCTAGAATCTCAGTGTGGGTTTAGAGCATCAAGAGGTACAACTGACACGATCACCAACTGCAGGAAAAATGTGAGAAACAACATAAACCCCGCTACACGGCCTTCTTAGGCCTCACAAAAGCCTTCAACTCCTTCAGCTGAGAAGCACTGTGGAGGATCCTTCGGAAGTACATATGCCTACTGAAATTCATCACCTTTCTTTGCCTGCACCACGACAGTATCTTCAGGCCTACAAATAAGACATAGTGATGGAAGACAATCATCCTTGACTGCTAGGGACTGCTGAAGAAGAGTTGCTTTCCATTACTGAACACTTGCTACTTTTGGCAGCAGTTTCATGATAGTCAATGTATTTAATGAGGTTTCTTTGTATGCAAATGTAAGATGATGGCTATTTTCCCGGGGGGAGGTGGGGGGGAGGGCACACCTTATATTTGAGTAAATGCAGTAAAATATTATAAAACAGTGTTTTATTTCTTCATACTACTGCATTACCACGTCTGATATCCTGTTAATATATTAAGATAATTCTGTTTGTGTTTTAAATTGAGACGTACTCCAGTAGGAAATTTAAATACTGTTTAAGAGGTTTGTGGAAAGGTATATAAAACGTCTGGAACTCTTTCATGCGTGCATTTTTGCCTAATCTTTTCTTTTTAGATTTTCCTTTTATTATATTATTATGACCAGGTGGAAATTATATGGACATATTTGTAGCTCCTTATAGTATGTTACTTCTATAAACAAGAAAAGTTGACAATTTCCAAAAGGATAACTCAAGGCAGAATTTGACATCATGGCCTTACCTGATTTTCACCAGGCTCCCACTATTGGAAAAAATGACCACATCACACTTTGTTGCTGTGTATAGTACAGTAACCAGTAGCCAGTCTGATACAAACACAGATATGAGCTTGATTGTGCGATGCACTTTGGAAATGCACAGTGAGAGATGCAAAGAGGTTCATGGCTCCATAAACAATCCAGACAAAGGTTGGAAAAAGAAACAGACACAGGGAGGCAAAGTGGTTCACGGTAGTTCAGCAAGAGTCGGGATGGAACTAAACTCTCCTGATGCCCGGTCTGGTGGCCTCTCTGTCTGGCCACCTCATCTCTCCTTCTCTTTTGTTTCCAATTACGAGAAAAATATTTTATAAAACGACCAAATGTTTAGTAGCCTCTCATCTAACTTAAAATTACAGATAATTATTTGTTGGAAAAGTATAAAAGACTGGACATATAAGGATCCACTACAGTGCTATAGAAGTCTTCTCACAATTGAGCATTAAATCCTCTTTTTTTTCTTTATTTATCTTCCAGGTCTTGCAATTGCAAGTGCCCTGATAGACATTTCACAACAGAAGCCTGCAGACTGTAAAGATAAGAGTTCAGGAGTCAGAAATCGAAAACATCACCTCTCAACACGTCAAGGAACTTGTGTCTGAGATCTAGAAACTGCACTTGTATATTCTGTAATGTTTTCTTTTTAAATGGCTTCCATTGAAAGCTATACTACAGCCTCAGTTTTTATGGAGGCAAATCTATGGATAATGGTGATAGGTAAATATGTGCTCTGTTATATTCACACTTGCAATCTACTGTGCCCCAAAGCAGAACAACCTTATGACGAATATGAGTATACTGATCAGCTTTAGATGAAGCAACAGATTCTGATATCATCAAAATATAAAATAAATGAAACAGCTCTCTTAATCCTGAGCAAATCAGAGGGGGGAAAGTCTTGACTACATCTAGGAGAGACTATGTTATTTTGTAATGAAGAAAGAAATTGTATAATTGAAAATTAAGCTTAACCCTGGGACGCTGAAGGACATTTTTATAGCTTAACACCATGTTAAGAATTGTACAGTTTTTTCTCCTTTCGATCAGCAGTAAGATATTCTTTCAGAAAGGACTAACTGAAAAGGCTGATGTGAATTTAGGTGTTATTTTATCATTTTCCAAATTTTTGAATGAATAGTTATTGCAAAAATTAACGTGCATATATTTCAGTGATCATACCATATGAAAAAACTTGAGTTGAACATATCATAGTTTTTTACCTTCCTAAAGGCCCTGAAGTCGAGTCTGGGCTACAATCGAATGATGTGTGGACAGTACTATTCCACTTCATGAGATTTATTAGACCTCTGAATGAGAGATATATTCTAAGCATTGGTCTTCCTTGCCAACTGACTAACTCGTTACCAGAACTGACTGAAAATCGAAAAGCCTGTTTTGCAATCAAGTTCTTTGTTTCTCCAAAAGCTATCTCCAGGATTGCAAACTGAGGGAGAGTTTCACTTGCTGTTGTTGTTCAGTAGTCTACCTACTCCTGTTTCCTATTGTAACATCCTAAAACGACTATAAATGGTTTCCTTTCACCTCCTAGCAGAACTGCACCCCAACCAGCTCATTGACCTTTCTCTAATAAATTGTGGACTTCTCTTCTAACTGTAGTTTCACATGCTCTACAATTTCGTCCTATTTAAAGTATTTTCTTGAATACCAAAAAACCCCCCCAAACAAACCCAAAAAACAAACCAGCACAAAACCAGCTTGGTTCCAAGAGTGGTTTTCAGATAATTCATTTAGTATGAGACCTGACCAAATCAGCATTCAGCAGCAAAAAAAAAAAACCTAACAGGAGAGCATCCTCTGACTGTCTGTTAGTCTAACAAGCTCTGAGGGGCTTGTTACCACAGTAAGCACTCCAGCAAACAGCCTCTTACAGCCCTCTTTGCTGTCTTTTCATTTAGCCATAATGCTGAAACGTAGCAAAATCAAGAGAGACTAATAAGGGAGAGGTAGCAGATGGGTTCTATTCTCATTTATGCATTAAATGTCAATGGCAGTTGGTACAAACTCAAGAGTTTTGGTAGGTCTTACTTGGAAGTGCAGTTTATGAACTCCAAGTTTGCCAAGGTGCTAATGTAGGGGAGAGCCGGAGAGGTATAAATGCCTCTAGTATATCATAGAGTTTTGGTAAATATGAAAGATATTTAAAGATAATTGATGTTTTACTACTATATCTGTATTTTTCATTTTCTTTTTCTTTTGGGAAGGTGATGACATTTTAATGTTTACAATTGATTACATAGTTACTTGCATGCCATGGTGCAGTAGCAGTAATAAAGCCCTGTTGTGAGTTGATTGTGTTTATTTTGTAATGCCATTCATACCTAGAACTACTCTATTTAATTTGGATGAGGACTGAATGTAAAAAATACATATAAAAAGGAATGGTTGTACAGTATGTAGTTACATCTTATACAGGATTATTAGGTTGCATCTAACCATGACTGCTATATCGTTTTTATAAATTATGCATTTATGAATTATGGTATAATTATTCATTATGCTGGCATGATTGTTTCAATCTTTTCATATCTTAAAATAAGATTATTATTCTAATATAATGCCATCACCAAATTATCCTTTTAGTGGCCGTTCTGACCTCATGCCCTAATTTCTGAAAACCTAAGAAATCCATTTCTAAAGCTTCTGTTGAGACTATTCAATCCATCCTATGACATGCAAAAAACCCTTTTTATTTTTAAAATAACCCCTTGTATCAGTTTTAATGTTGATCTGCTCAAGGTAAAGCGAGCCAGTAGAACTGGTGTGTATGTTGACTAAGCCATTACAAACAGGATAAAAAGAAATAAGCCAATTTACTGGAAAATTTTGCAAATTCTATACTCTCATTCTACATATTACATATGAGAAATATACACTGTATGTTTTATGTATACGTGTACCCGAGACTCACTGTACACAGGACATGTATTCTGCAGAATGGTTACTCTCACTGGAATCTGTTGCACTTTGAGATGACTTGAAAAGCAAATGTAAGTTTTAAAAGTGTTTATTGTTTATTTATTTCAGCACTTGAGATGGGCAGATACCAATCAGATATTTTTTAAGGGGCGACTTAAAACAATGTCATTTTTATTGTTCAACTAAGTATCCGTGTCCTGGGACCATTCAACATTTTCATTCAGTTTTGGAGTACATTTTCTAACACTTCTTGCTCTTTCTTCTCTCAGACTCCTTGGGCACATCTGCATGTGCACTTAACTGCAGAGTAGACTAATTAGCTCCGCAATAAAGCATTGCTGCCTACGTGTGTGCTCATATTAGGGCACAGTAAGCTAACTCCACCGTAGGATAGTACTGTCCGGGACAAGTACTATCCTACAGTGGAGTTGTTACGTACACTGAAATGATTGTGTAGGCAGCGACCGGAGCTGGCTGGGGCATGAGGGTGCTATGGTGTGGGGCTAGTACCCCACACTGTAGTACCCTCACGCCCCAGCCAGCCCCTCTGCAGCACGATAAGTCATGCCAGAGCAGCTCCTGGCTGGCAGGCTGACCACCCGGGTTCCCTGCCAGCCAGGACTATTCTGCCCCAACTCAACCTGCTGCTGTCCTGTGGTGCGTGTGTAAATGCTGTGCTCAGGAGCAATAAACTCTAGACTGCACCAGAATGTATTGCCATGTGCTAATTGCATGTGTAGATGCACCTATTGGCCATATCCATTAATGCATGGACATTTGCTTTCCTGGGGACAACTAGCGGCGGAGCAAGGTGCATTGCTGCTAGTTGTCCCCGAGGAACACTTGTGCCATGCACACTCTGGTGCACAGCAAGTTAACCCGGGTGGTGTAGGGGAGGCTAGGGCCAGCACTGGTCTGGGCCCAACAGCCTTACCTGGGACCCTGGGGGCCTCCCGGGGCTGCAGCAGCGGTGATCCTGCTACATGGAGCCTGGCCGGCAGCAGAGTGTGGCTCTGGCTTTGGGCTATGCACGCTGCCGCCGCGTGCAGCACTCCACTCCTTTTTTTTATGGGTTTCCACTTTTTTTTTCTGCTCTCACAGCGCAGAAGACAACTGAATATATGATATGTGGCATCGCAGACGTATGTGCAGCGCCACATACTGCATGGCCATGCTCGTCTGGCCATGGCCATTGGGTCCAAATTACTAAAAAAAAATTAAAATAAATAAAAAGACAACATTCTCTTCTGAAACTTCAGTTTCTGACTAACCATGAATAGTCTGTATTTTACATGTACAAAAATACTGTGGTGTCTCAAATACCATTTTATGCCAATTGTTGGCAAATACTGATCTCTTCCTTAATGATGGCCAGTGTACACCAGTGACAGTTTTTTTTCCTGGGCTTTTTGATGAAGCCAGTATTGTTCACTGCTCTGCTCCCACAACACTCTTTGAGCTCTTGATAAGATTCAGAAAATGTTGAATGAACCTTTTTAATCAAAATTGTCATTTTATGTTGCACTAAAAATATCAAGCTAGCCCTTAATTTATATAGTGGCTCATGAATGAAACTCTGACCATCAGGACTCCATATTTTTTCTCTACACCAATCATTAATACTCCTGAGGGAAAAATTACAGCCATGACTCACTGTTAAAGATCAAGATAACAGACATTGCAGACAATAGCATGTTTTCTTCTCTGTTTCCCTCTGTATATTTTTCCATTCTTTCATTAAGTTACTTAAATATAACATGTAAATAAGTAACACATTAGCATATGAGGTCTGTTAATTGTACTTCCTTGTAAATTAATGAACTGCTAGTGTACTTACAAAAAATGAGTGTTTATCTGCACATTGCTTCAATGAATATGATACCTAACTAATAACATAAGGCAATTTAAAGATGCTTCCTAAGAGAAATGCATGTCTTTAACTGGGAAAGTTCAGATTCACCTCTGATTGCAAATTTTTCCAGCTGGCCTTTCTCCAGGTAGCAGGGTGGTGTTCAGGATGTTTCACGTTTTGACCTTGATGTAGACCCTGTTACATATAAAACCAGCAGCAATGATATTTTTCCAAAACAATTTAAAATGTAAGACTGGAATCCTGATGGTAAGAATTTTAGTTTGTGGCCATGTTAACAGTTGTTCAGGCTTTAGCCCTAGCAGATTTGATGGTATTCATCTAAATTGCAAAATCATTATGTACCTAATTTCATTACCACTTTTATGAAAACCACCCAAAGGATTTCCTGACAATAAAGGTAAAGTCTCTGTTAAAGGTATTATACTCTCTTTTTTCTTTTCATATGAGCCATCCTATCAAAATTACATGACACTGATGTAAAAAAAAATGAACTTTCACTCTTCAGCCTCTAGGATGTAGTATTTTTCTGATGGGATAGACTGATTCTTCCTTCAGTTGCTATCTATAGGAAAAGACCTGAACCTAGAGCTATTTGGACACTTCTTACAAGTACATATTGCCTTTAGAAACACAAAGAGTAATACAAGAAAGTCTCTCCAGCTTATTATTATTAGATTTTGCTTACTTTGTTTTTCATCCACCTGATTCTGCTGCCTTTGGTTGCACTGATTAAAGGATATTCAGCTGAGTAGTCTGTGTGAAACCCTGCTTCCATTCAAGTCAATAGAGAAACTACCGTTGACTGCCATGGGGCCAGATTTTCACACATTATCCTCAACTAGACTACTTTTTTGTATAACTACTATGTACCAGGAACAAGAATAAAGCAGTCAAAAACAGGCCTCGTATTATATCTTTGTTATACCATTATATCATTCATGACTATACAGTATATGGTTTCGGTTTCTTTTTTATGAAAAAAAATGGTTGCCCTTTTTAAATTCATGGAAATGGTATTTATGCTGTATGCATTATGATCCAATAATTCAGATATTTCTGATGTAAGGAATCTTCATAGAAAAGTACATGTTTTGTTGTCCGTCGGACTAAATACCGACTTCGGCACTTGATTTCACTTTGATCAGTATTTTCCCTATCAATGGAGAATTTGCTACTAACTTTGGTGAAGGTATTTTTTAGATATTTCCAGACCGTGTTTCATTCCAAGATGAGGGAGCTAAGCCTGGAATTCCAAATTAGGAAAAGCAAGTTAAAACACAAAGGAAAAAAACACATCTGCAATACCACACAGGGTTCGACAGGTAACCCAGATCAGAACGTACTTTCTCACCTTTCATGCATATTTATATGTTACAGTGAACACTGCTAGAGAGCTAAGTCAGTCACTTACTGTGTGTGTATCTGATGGGCTACCAACTCAGAAGGAGTGAAACCTTGAGTGCCTTTCTCCTCATGAATGAACCAGGAAGGGGGATATGTGCACATGTTTTGTGAATGTTTCATTATTCTATATACATCTTTCATGGTTCTGCCTAGAGAGATGCATACTATTTATTTGAAGTGTACAGATGTTCTGTAAGCAATATCTAAAATGTCCAAATCGGAGTGCTTGTAAACAGGCTTACCTTCACATCTTTATGTGCTGTAATTGTTTTGTTGAAACAAATTATTTTCAATGCTAAACTAAGACTAGGGCTAACGCTACAGGAAACTAATTTAAACAGAAAGCATACAGGAGGTTTGCTGTTTTGCATACTGGCCCCTGCCACTTGTTACACTTAAGATGTGATTAACCAGTTAACCCTGTCTTAAGCTGTAACCCACCTTACATTAAAGCAATTAATGACATTATAAAACTCAGAATAAACCACAAAGTTATTCCACCAAAAATGTGTAATAACTTGGTGGTTGGTTCCTATGATGCCATTAATTGAATGCGTAGCCAAGTGTGCCCAGTGGCTGGGAGCCCCATCAGCTAGGTGGGGGTGAACCTTGTGCTCCTGCAGCTGACAAGGCTCCCAACCGTTGGGGGTGCACCACATACTCCTGCAGCTGGGACCACACAGCTGACAGGGCCCCCAGATGCGGGCACAGCACACACTTCCACAGCTGGAAGTCTGCAGATGACCACCATGTGTGGGAGGTGCACCATATGCTCCCATGGCTGCGAGCCTTGCCAGATGTGGGCTCTTGGCCATGAGGGCACATGGTGCACCCCAGAGGCTGGGAGCCCAAATCTACCAACAGAGCTCCAGCTGCAGGAGCTTGCAGGAGCCCAGGAGCCCAGGCTTTCCACGCACCAGCAATAAGGTATTATGGGATCTGATGCTGGATCCCACAGTCCCGCTTCCTGCCATGCAGATGTGGCCAGCGGCATGGCAGAAGGCACGATTGTGTGGATTACACATCAGATCGCATGCCACTTTTACCTGCACGTCTGGCAGCAGCCACATGACTATATACAGTCCAAGTTACGGTT